CAGAGAAGTAGGATAAAAACAGTGGGGCAGTGGAGTGTTCCCCCCCAAGGTGAATGCTCCTGGAGGAGAGCTGCGTGTGGTGGAGGACGCCCTCCACCTCCCTCCTCTGTCCTCCTCCTCTTCAGTCTTTCTGTCCTTTTTCCTCATATCTTTATTCCTTCTCTCGCTGCCTTTAATCCACCCATCCTGCCTTGCATTATTCATGAGGTGAATACACCTGAACGTCCCAGAGAGGCTGCAGTACCACTGCCCACCACCAGATGTCAGTGTTGTCCAGCAGGTGTTTCTGTTCTGTTGAGAGCAGTAAAAACGTTTTCTTTACATTCAGCATAGGCACTCAGTGTGGCCCCCTGCTGGACCCTGCTGGAGTTTAACAACACAAACAAAAGGTTTCACTTTTGCTTCCTGTCAGCAAAATTACTAAAAACTGCCCGAATACGTCAAGAAGTGTGGACCAATCAGCATTCAAACCCTCAAGCAACACAATATCTGATCTGCACAGAGCTACGAGAGTGCGTTGGATTACTCAGCTGAGCTGTCAGGAATCAGAGACCAAGTTATGATTTCTAAGACGTCTGCCATTTTTGTTTTATGCGCCACTGATTTTTGGAAGTTACTGAACCTTTTCTGTTCTCCTTTAAGTGTTTTTGTATCTTTAGCAGTCACCAGTGGGAGCTAAGAGCCACAAACAAAGCACAGATATCATGAATTCACACACTGGGATCCAAAGCATGAATACGCTTGGTATTTAATAATTATTCGTTTGTTCGTTCAGTCGAAAGTTTGTTGTCTTTAATTAAAATTGAATTAATTTAAAATTTAATTTAAAATTGTGTCCGAATATGGCTTTATGATGAGTTTTAGAGCCCTGGAAATTTCTAAAACTCATCAAGCAATGATGTGTAGCTCAGACTGATTGGAGGGGGGGGGGAGTTCGTGAAGGATGCTGTGGGGCTGTCGTGGTTCATGTGCTGGATTGGTAAACTGTGGTGGCGGCTTTTTACCAAGCAGGTCAGAGAGCGTTTCCAGGCTTTGATGGTATCCCACTCCTCAGCCTCCCTGGGAAGCTCCATGTTGGTGGGAACCTTGGATTTGTGGGAAAATAAGTTGTTTTCATCCTGGTGGTGCTGCTGGATCAGTTCTAGACCCTCTGAAAGATATTTGAGGGTCCACAGGAGTCTGCATGTGTTTTGTGGACTTTGAGACCGGGGTGGTTTTTGAGGGGTTTTTTGTTACGGCTAATCTGGCCACAGTGGGTGTTTGGGTTCTGGGGGTGTTTGGACTCAGACATTTAAATGGCAACGATTTGAAACGATCAGCCCAACAGCAGCCAGTTTCTGGTTTGCTGGTCTCAGGATCGCCTTTCTGCTTTTGCTGGATGATGTGGTCCTTCTGGCTTCTTCAGTCTGTAGCTTCCAGCTGTAATTGCAGTTACCACCTCCACGTCTGAGCTCACAGTTCTTAGCCAGAAATGGGTAGAGGGTACACTCCAAAATCCTGTCCCAGGAGGAGTTTGAGTATCTCAGGAACTTGTTTGGCGCTGGTGGGAAGAAAAAGGCAGAAGCAGCAGAAATGTGCCTCCTCTCTAGGGTCTCTGGGCAGGACTGTTATTTAAGAGAAGGTCTGAGCAGGATGCCTCCTGGATGCTTCCTAGGTGAGGTCTATCGGGCATTTCTGATTGGAAGGAGAAAAAGGAAATGCTGGAGGTTATGTTTCTGGGCTGGCTCGGGAATACCGCAGTGTCTCCCCCAGAAGAGCTGCAGGTGGTGAATGGGGAAGAGAGACTGAGCATCTCTGCTGAGACTGCTGTCCCTGTGACCCAGACAGTCAGCTTTAGATGAAGGATCTACCAGCGCCACACCGAGCTAACATGTGTAGATCCAGATGAGCTTCATAAGTAATGACAACTCAGTTGTAACATGTAACAGGGTAAAATGAGGAGCCAGGATCGGGGTGTTGAATGCCAGCAGGTAAAGATATGACCATGAATCTGTAAATGAGGTGCGTCTGCTCTCAGACGTCTGAAACGTTGAGACTTTTGCAAAGTGAGTGAGATACTTATGTTCAGTGGAGAGAAAGCTGACATCACCTGTACCTGAGTGAGGAAGTGAAGCTCGGTGCTGCTCTGCACACTTTAATCCTGCAGCCAGCTCACATCTGCACGCTGTTAATCTGATTTATCAGAGGGAAGGTGAAGAAACAGCGGTGAGATCCATCATGTGCTACAATCTCAGCTTATTGATCCTGGCAAACTTGTGTGAAGTCATAACTAATCTGCTGTTTTATCCGTCTCTGTGCTGCTGCTGCTGCTGCTTTTCCTACCTGCTTAAGTTCTCTCACATAAATATGGCGTCTGCTTTCTGCACGCCTCCACCGCTCAGTTATCGAAGGCGCTCTCGTAGCTCTGTGCAGATCAGATGCGTTACACGAGGATTTGAATTCAGCACAAACTCCAGACGACTGTGGACAGAAATGAGAATTCTTTGAGGACAAATCAAAACAGCCATTTTTAAGTTGTTTCAAAGAGGCCTGCAGCGTGCGCTCCTCGGACCTGGAAGCTGCGCTCGTCTTTCATGCGCAGATGAGACGGCGAGCTAAAACGCACAGTAACGTGTTTTTCAAACGTCGCCTTCCCGCTGAACCCCGCCTCCCGATGCGAGAAACTGTTTGTGTTGATCGTTTCATCAGCGTTTCCTCCGTCTTTGAGCTGGAGCGTGAAAGTCCACAACTTTTTAAGTACAATGTGCTTCTGTTGTTTCTCTTTGAAGCGCACAGATCAAAGCAGACGGCCACACACGGCGAGCGCGATGACCTCGTCTGCAGAGCAGCTCCTGCTTTTGTTCTGCTCGTTCTCCAACACCCTCACTGCTTTTGTGCTCTCACCTCCAACATGCCATCAATTATACAACAAAGACGCTGCTTCATTGTTAAGCAGGTGGTGCACGCAGCAGTGAAGTTATCCAGGCTTGGATAACGTGATCTCCACGCAGGTTCTTCTCTTTTTCAAATCAGGAGAATGACTGATGCTGCAGAGCGGCAAGTTATGGAGTCGGGTTGTAGAGCAGGGGTGGGGAACTCCAGGCCTCGAGGGTCGGTGTCCTTGATCCAGCACAGCTGATTTAAATGGCTAAATGACCTCCTCAACATGACCTGAAGTTCTCCAGAAGCCTGGAATGAACTAATCATGTGATTCAGTGAGATCTAAAACCTGCAGGACACCGGCCCTCGAGGCCTGGAGTTCCCCACGCCTGTTGTAGAGTCTTCGCCGTAGACTTTAAAGCACCTTGAGGCGACTCGTTGTGATTTGTTGCTATAAAAATAAACCTGACTTCTTGGATCTCTGCTTGAAGTGAGCTTGTGTAGTTGGTGCGCTGTAATGTGAATTCTGCACAAGTCGTTGCACAGACGTCTGTGCAGACCTCACGCTCGCC